ATGGCTTGGAACGCTCCATGTTGCTAACTCATACGGTCATGATCCACTGTGCTTGCTCTACTGCGGTTTAATTAATACGGTACTTGGAACACCATAATGGACTTAATTCAGACAGCAGAGCCATGCACAATAACAAAAGCTAGAAGGCAGCCTTTCCAATACCAGCCAGATTTTACCCATACAGAAGCAGCATGACTTGTTTGATTTGCTAATATTATTCCAGATTTGTCAATTCAGTCCATTTGAAAAACTATTTTGTAATTTTTGATATATAAATTATGCTTCTTTTCTACAAAGACAACCCTGCCCTGGATTTAAAAGCATGAACACCTTCTGGGCAGCATCAATATTCTCAGAAAGTACACTTCACTTTTTAAATATTTTTATAAAAGCCAAACATTGAAACAATGGTATCTGCTAGCCTTCAGCTTGGTTTTGGGAAGAGTTGTATTATCTGCTGTTGCTAACTCAAGTGAAGACTGTCTGAAATCTGGGGTGTCAATAATCATTAGGCTGGACGTATGAAACATTTACTTCAAAGCTCCCCAGCGCTCTCTCCTCTCTGCTCCAGGCTGCCTCTCTGTCAGCAAGTGCAAGAGCTCCTGCAGCCACTGTGCAACTCCAGAGGCATTTGTCCAGCCAGCAACAAACTCCTGCTTTCCCAGCAAACACATTCACACAGATCATAACCATTCTTCACTGTACCCAAAATGGAGACTTCATGAGACTCTGCTGAGAGATGTTACGTCCAAACAAAAATATCCAATTAAAAGGGTCCCAACTGAGGCTGGAGAACCTATAAATCAAGCCCTGCTAGCTGTTATCATGTACCTCTCACTCCTCAGCCAGTCTGCCCTTTCAAGAGCATCTCCAGACCAGGGAAGTGGCGGAGCACGATGGAGGAATAGGTATTTGCTACATGTAGGATCGCAGTGCTTTGTAACAGAACTTACTTTTGTTAACCGTAACAACAACAAAAACCAAACGAAACAAAACAGGTCTTCTGGGGTCAAAAAGATGCATGAAAAAATCATCTCATGGTTACAAGTAGGTAACTGCACCAGTTCTGTGAGGCTTCTGGCCAAGTGTTTCTTGGGGAGGGCTGGTACTCAGTACTGCTATGGGACACTTTCAATTCCCAGGCACCGGAAATGCTGTTCCCGTTAGCTTCTTCATTCATGTGAGGAAAGGACGGGGAATCCTGGCGATTTCAGAAGAGCTACCAATAAGCAAAAAAGGAGTAACACACTGTCCTCCCATGACAGAAAAATGGTGGGCTCCGACCTCAGGCATGGTGGGGAGGGGGGGGAAGGGCCAGCTTTATTTAATGCACACCAGCCTGCTATCCCACACCCAAAGCAGGCAGAATGGGATATGCATCCCTGGCCGGCAGTGCTGTGCAGTGCAAGATTTAAATGACCAATTTACAAGGAACACTAGATTGCAGGGGAGTCCTTGACAGCTCTACTTCAACCCTGCTGCTCCAACTGCATTCTAACATTTCTGTCCAATTATTCACCTAAGAATGAAAAATATATATTTATTACGAAGGACTCTTATTGCTATTGTTGGTTTGCGCTGTATGGTTCAAACTTTATCGTTTCAAATCCAAACTCTTTGGGGAGAAAATATTGTTTTTTTTCCCTATTTTTTTCCCTTTCCAATTTTTTAAAATTGTACAAAAATAAAGGATTTTCCACAAACGTGGGCTAAAAGTGACCAATAATACTTGTACTTAGGATCATCTGTTGGAGATGTGGTTAATTTCAGCCACAAAACAAAAATAAAACTCCAGGGATTCCTTAGGTTAACATTTAAAAGACATGAAAACATTTGTTTATAAAATTGACCCCATACAGAATGGAACAGCCAAGCTAACAGCTGTTTTTTTTAATAATGGTCTTAAATTTAAAAATAAAAATCAAGTAATTCCTTTTCTGGATTTTCACATTAGAAAACTGCACCATTCAAAAACTGTGGCTAGGGAAACCCCATTGCAATAAGAAAGTTTCTTTTAATAGTCGTCGAGGGTGTTTTCCAGGAACACATTTCTAACATCCAGTATGGAAGCCAACTCCAAAATGTGTTTTTGGAGGTGAGGGTTCTCCACTGTTTCGTCTCTTGGCAACTGGGGATAAGATTCTGGATAATTTCGAGTTTCCTGCTAGACAAAAAGAAAACAAAAACAGTATACTTACTCTTATAGTATTTACAACAAAAGTACAAAAGACCAAACTCATTTAAAAATATGCTGATTTGTGTAAATAGGCCACACAAAAGACAGGATTTCACTGGAAGTAATGAAGGTATTTTTCAGAGTATTTTCCCTTCACACAAAGTCGTATCCTAATTTGCAAAGCTGCAGGGAAGCTCAAGCCTTACTGGTCATGGTGGCGATACATAGGTTCAGTAACTTAAGACAGCTGGGCACGTTCCATTTTTATGACACATTCATGGAAACCGTGAGGAAAAGGGAAATTTGATGCACACGCACACACACACTAAAATAGACTGCTGATATTTTACTTTCTGTACATCTACTTTTTCAGGTTTTCTATAATGCTTGAACACTAAGTAGGCAAGCTAGATCTGGATGCCTACACCCACAGTGTGCATAAAGGTGTAAGTCCAGAAGCAAACTTCATTTGCGACACTTCTCAACAGCAGGGAAAACACTTTCCTGCCCTCTAACTGTTTGTTCTCCTTCCAAAACTCCTTCAGATCCCACAAATTCCAAGAGACTTCTCAGTCAAAGACCACTTTCTCCCAATGCTATGGTTCTGTTAATTTCTGTCAAATCATTCTCTCCATTTTTCGCACAGTTCAGCTACCATCCAAAGCCTGTGCACAATTATAATGCTCTATAAAATAATGTGTGTGGTCAGTATTAGATAGCATTTCCTTCAGAAATGGTGCAGTTAAAAGGGCTCAGAAGTTAAAAGATTTAATGCTTTCCACATAATCAGAAGACAGATGCAATATACTGTTAAAATCAGGTATAAGCATTAATACAGGAAGGCTTTTTCACCAGTAAGAATTAAGAACGTTACCCAATACATACTTCATATACATATTGGTGAATACTGTTCTGAGAATTTCAGGAGCCCTTCTGAGTGGTAATAGTGCCATCTGTGACCACAAGAACTACAGAAGAGACCTTTTATTCCCAGCCTGTGCAATTCTCTGTGAAAACAGCATATGCTAAGTGAATTGTTCTCATGAAGGGATCACTTTCCCTGCATACCCGGAAAATTTTGTGCATCCTCATGGTGGCAGAGCAGAAGATGAATCTTGTTAGAAGTAAGCGAAGAAATTCATCCCCAAAAAACTGAAGGAAAGCCTGATCTGCAGAAAGGAAGAAGGTAACACTTAAAGAAAACTTGATAAAGAACAGCATTAAGGCAAGAAACCTTTGAGGAAACACATGGAATAGCTGTGCATTTCTCACTCAGTCTGCATTATCCTTTACACAAGCTGAGGAATACAAAAAACAATTAAAAGAAAAATCAGCTTGGGTTGTCTATTGAGCTGTCGGTTGTAGAAGATGTAGATCTTTAAGGACATACCTATGGAGCGGGAATGAGTCAGCAGCTGAGCAATATCCCGGTTGATTTTTCTAAGGTAATCTTGACACTTCTCCCACAATCCTCTGCGCATGCTTGATAATCCAGAGACAAATAGGAATGCCATTAAAGGATTGTTCAGAAAGAGGGTGAAGAGGCTACCCCGCTGAGACTGATCTAAAAGCCAATAATAAATAACAACATGATGCATTTGGCATGTCAAACAGAAGAGTTGCCCTTGCTGCAGAACAAAATCCTGAACCTTTCACTCATTCATCTGTTACAGACTTGAACTCGCTGCAGTGTCTAATAATGTTTTCCCTGCCCTTATGATGGGTTAAATCACATGCATCATCAGGAAGACAGTTCAGGATCATGGCAGATATGTGCACAAGCCAGGTGCAGAAGAGACTGCATCGGTGCTTATGTTTTTCCAAATCTGTGAACAGTTTTACTACAATTTGTGTTATCACAGAATATAGAATGTGTTTATGAAGTCATAACTGACCAAACTGTCTCAAAATACTTCCCTGTTTTAGGTTTTAATAGAAGCATTACTGGAAAAGGGTATACAAGATGTCTGTATAGATGAACAAATAATACTTGAGACATAGGGTCCCCAACCCAAAATCTACATAAGTGTCCCCCTCCTTTTCACCCTATCCTTAATTCTGCAGAAATCTACTCCTTTTCTTGGCACGGCTTCTGGCTTTTATTTAAGAATTTTTTAAGACAAGAAAGCAGAGATACAAGTTAATGTGGAATCTCCTTAGGACTCTGGTCACAGTGTGTCAGTTTAAGAACATTAAAATTAGGGCCTCTGCTGGAGACACTCACTGTTTTAAAAGGTAAGTTCTATTGTTGATTAGAATATCTGTTGAATTAAATAGTTTCACTTGAACAATTCTTAATTTCTAAAAAAAGCCTCATTTAAATAGAACTTACCTTAAAGCAATTGTAGTCTCCAGCTTCCCATGCATTCACTTGATGAACACCATTCTTGTGCCACAAACTATGTCAGCAGACTGGACTTCATGCTCAGAAGTAGCAGTAAAATGACAGCCCTGACCAAGATACCCCAGAACCATTTACAGTTATTGGCATTGTGAAGTTTTTATAAAGGTAAATATGATTAGAGCAATTAATTGCTGCAATCTTCTTCTTTTAAGCTCTGACAAGTGAATCTCCTGAACACACTGGAGTCCACACTGCATCCTCCATTCCTAACAGAAGAGGCAGATGGCAATCAGTCCTGGGTCATTTTTAACCTAGAAGATTTCAGAAGTGTTCTGGTCCATGAGCTGTCCCTACAGGAATCATTGCATCTTCTCTGTAATATGTAAATCTAACGTTTTTTTGTTAAGCAACCCTCAAAACGCAGCAGCAGGTGCCACAGAGACTCTGCAGATTGGTTATAAAGTCCTGGTCTCAGGACTATGGCTGGGACAGGGAGTAGGCAGTGTAATTCTAGCAACACTTCTATTGTAGTGAAACTTTTCTCAAGTGCTAGTCATAGAAGAAATGAACTACAAACCCAGCACCAGGACATTTCCACCTTGCTGCATCTGAGAAGATATTACATGTTGGTGCTTGGATGAAGCTGATCAGACAGTCTCCTGTCAATCATGCCATGTTAAAGAAGTCATTCACTGTGGACTTCAAGTAAATTCTGGGCATGCCAGGCTGGTCCAGCAATATTCACCCCAGCTGGGATCATCACATGAAGAGAAAGTCTTCCAAAAGCAGACAAGTTTCCATATAGCATCCACCAACTCCAAAAATTATGCAGACAGACAGACAGACAAGTGATACAACTGAAAGCTGCTAAAGAACACCTTCATACCTTGTAATGCTTTGGGATACGCTGTTGGAGAAAGCAAGCACACCAGTGGTTGTCCAAATAAATTTGTGAAGTTCTGCAACAGAAAATAATTAAAACAATGACTGTCACCAATTGTCTCCTTAGGTCAGAACCCCAATCTGTTTAACTGATACAATTAAGGCTACTAATTGAGGTAGGTAAGCATACCAGATAAATGGAGACACTAAGGCTAATATTCAATTCTTCATATACCACAGCCCAACAGAAAAAAACAACAAATTTTAAAAGAAATTTTAAATTCCCTCACCCCAACAACAGGCACAAGTTTCACAGAAAGAGGGCTTCTAGAGATAACCCATTAACCCACTAGAATAATGGAATTACTTAAAAATGATATTCTATATGAAGTAGAAGCCATTTATTTTTAGACACAAAAGCAAGTTACTTTCTTTGTCCCTAGCTCAATAATTCAATGTCCCTAGCTCGATTGTTCAATTAAAGTAATTGCAATTTTTTTTTGTTTAACAAGCAATAGGACTGATCCTGCTAGAACAAGAGAGCCAGGGGGAGTTTGGTTTTAAAATAAACAAAGCCTGTTATTGGAAAACTTATTCTTACTGAAATAACTCATTTTCCTTCGGTACTAGTATAAATGCACCATGCTGCACAAGAAAGCCAGCAGACAGCACTATATACCAAAGGAAGAGTCTTTCTGCTATAGCACATAATGCAGGTCCAAAACAGGAAAAAGTTTCTTCAATTAACGATTAGAGCCTGTCCCCATGTCCTAAGCTAATAACACTACCAGAACTGAAGAGCTGTGAAGTCAGAAAGGACAGCCTAATTTATCTGTACACCTCTAATGCACGTATTCACATCAGTGCAACAGGGGTCAGATGAATGCAATTCAGTCCCTTTAGATCAGATTTTATACTCCTAAAGTACAAATTATGAATCTTAGTTACAGGTCATGGAGAATCATTAATGGGCTGAAAAATTAAATGGTTATGTAGCTGGGCTCTGTTTTCGCCCAATTCAAACAAATTTCCATTCCTTCCGTTGTGCTTTATTTCAATTAGTTTCATTAGAACAATTCATTCTAAACTTGTTAAAATACTGAAGATGGTGGCCTGGTCTAATCAAAGTAATGCATTCTGTATGCATAACAAAATGCTGATTAGGCTTAAAAGCTCTGTTCCAAGAAGTGATCCAGGCAGATTTATGGGCTAAATATTATAGGTCTAGTTTCCAGTCAAAAACCATTACTGCACAGACAATAGCTGTAAGCCAAACTACTAATTGCTAATACTGAACAATATAGGGAGAATTTTAAATGCTAGCAGGTGTCTCTGCAACCATTACTATTCTGGCCCATTAGGAACAGAATAATCCCAGAAGTGCTACTGGCACCAAGGGGTTTGAACATTCCTGTAGCACAACTGTTTAGCATTAGGAAACTGTCACAGCTGGGGTTAAATATTGCAGGTGACCTGGTTAAAAATCAGAACAATTTTTTTTTACACTCCAGTGCTGAAAATAACAATTTACTGAAGCAATGCCAAGAACCCCCTTCTGAAGGCCCTAGTAATACAGTATTAATCCTTTTAAGAGACCACTCTAGACTATGAGCATTTTAAAACAGCTAAAGTTCAAAACTTTTTGCTGCTTTGAACTGAAGATGTCAAACATGGCCATTAAGCACTGCAATGGGAGGAAATCACCTTCATGCTGAGGGGTACAAGAATGACATTCTCTGCACTAAAACAGAAGGCGAGAGCGCAAATACTTAAATGTAGAACCATTAAACCTTTAATGGCATTGCAACAGCAGCAGCAGCAGCTCCAAGGGTAAAACCACTCCAAAAGCTGAAAACCAGGCTGCCTGAAATTGCAGAGAAACCTGAATAGACAAACACAGCTTGCAGTTATGTATTTAGCTGAAGGTGGAAGATAAAGGATGAGACTATAACAAAGTGCAGCTGGTCTGACAAATTTGCAAATCACTTCCTGGCAGGGCTCCCTCTCCGTCATCACCATTTAAAGTGTTCAGGAGGAAAGAAAGAAAGAATGCACACAAGAGCAGAAAGCAGCTCTTAGGAGAAGGGCTGTGAGGCGTTTGTTAATGCCAAAACTGCCAGCAGTGCCATTTGAATATCAGATTAGCTACTGTTCTATCATAAAGAATCGGAATAGCAGCATGAAATGGAATAATTGCATTGGTTCCTAGTTTTCACACACTTGCACAGACCCTCTTTGTTTGTGCTGATGCGCTCTGCCTCTGAAGCATTTCATTTTCACCAGACTCACCCCACGTTGTTTCAACACTTTTGCCGTAAGGCGACCAAGCACACAGAGAACAGACTTACATGTAATGTCCGGAAGACCCTGTGACTGATCACTACAGTATTTACCTCTAGTTGAACATGCTACACCCACACGTGAATGGTAACACATTTCCTAAAAGTACCTTAAGGCTGAAAAAACACTTTAGTAAACAGACGCCTGTACCTGCCTCCCCAATTTCTTAACATCAGAAGAGTTCCTAGAAGCCATTTCCAGAACATGACCAAGAAACAATTCCAAGGGCTACCAAAGCAGTTATTTCACCCATGCTTATGAACCAAGATGGGCTGTTTCATGAGCTTGGAGGGAACAAATAATGGACTCGGTAACTGATATCAAGGTT